TCCCTGCTCAAGGGTGAGGGGCTCAGTAAATGAGCTGCTGCATTCAACACCTTGCTGGGAGGCTTTTGGGAAGGGAAAATTGTGTCAGGTTCTCACAAAGTACTGGCACACGCGCTGACACATCTGTGCAGAGGCAGCGGAGGGCTCTGCTGGGGAGTTAGGAGCAGTTCACCACAAGTCCAGTCTCCTAACAAACCTGGTTTCCTGCTCAAACCAGCTGATAGTCAAATTTGTCCAGACTTTTTTCAAGAAAAGCAGGCTTTGCAGGGAGATGGTGCATAGTTACTCATTTTCTTTTCACTTTTATTAAGTATGTGGAAAAAGCCAGTAAGCTTTTGAACTTGGTGTCCCTGCAGCTGGTTGTTGAAAACCTTGCCTGTTTTTTTCCAACTGTCATTTGGTTTAATAAAAGATATTGCCTCTCCCTGCAAATCTTGTTTCTCGCACAATATGGCTGCACAGATAATGGCTGTTGTTTATATCCTCACAAATTAATGTGAATGTAATGGCTACCTCCAAGACTTCAAAGGAGAAAGTCTCTGGAGGTTAGAGAAGTGCCACAGCAAACCTTCCCCCACAGGTAAATGTGAAATCCTGACACCACAAAAATCAGCCCATGCAATTGCCCCTCCAAGAGCACCACAGTCTTGAGTCACATCTTAATTTCAGAAGCTGTCCCCACTTTAGCTAGCAGGACAGGTAGCTCACACAAGCACCACAGCAACTGAGGTTAGTGTGTGTGACCACAGCTGAGGACACTGCATCACTCTTCAGGCAGCAAGCAGAGACGAGCTCAAGCCATGGCCCCTGGCAGAGCCCTTCGTTTTATTTTACCCACCCCTTTTTTAAAATCACTTAGATTTTTAAAAGACAAAAGGAAGGCACCGTGTGAAAACATCACTATGGAAACATCGCGGGCTCACTTGTGCTTGCCTGCCAAGCGACTACCTAACTGAAGTTTTACATCCTATTGGATCACTGTTGGCCATCTGCTCTCCTTCAAACTTCTTTGAATTCCATATTTCCCTGAAAAGCTCAGTTTTAGAAAGAAGGGAGGAGGAGGCAAAGGGAGAATCCAGTAATTCTTGGCTAGTGCAGAGCTATTGTGAAAAAGGAAGATAAACTCGCTTTGGGGCAGCCCCTTAAAAAGACAGATCCATGTTTTGCGAAGTAATTTCATAGAAAATACCCTGGGTTTAGATGCACTTTAATGATAAGAGTATATATTGGCAGCCACAAGGCAAAACAAACAAACAGCTGCTTCTAGTACTCTCACGCTAATTGTCTTCCTCTCCTCTTCTCTCATTTAGTGTCAAATGTATTTTCTTCTAAAATGTAACAGTTACTGCCTACACTGGAGTTGCTGGCTGCAGGCTCCCCAGCCTTGCTCCAAATAAAACACAGAAATAGATTTCCTGCCAAGCACCGAGGAAGTTTGAAGACTTTAGTTTTAAAAAATATAATCTTTTTATCAGTGCCCTGAGCCTGCCAAAGGTAATTATAGGCCATGGCGCATTTACATTAATGCATAGGACCTACAGACATTTCAAAAGCTTAATGGAGAAACTCCATAAATGTACATATCGAAAAACAAATTAATTAAATTAAACTGTCATGTAAAGATATCACTTAATTTTGCAGAGCGGAAGGCGCTCTTAATGGGAATGGAATGGATCAGTGAGCATTTCAAAACCCAAAGCTATAATTTAAATTCAGGCTCTCCTCTAGTGTGCAAGTCACAAGACATATTTATTATAGCCTTGGATTGTCAATTGTAATCGGTTTAGCAGAGACAAAGCCGTGTTGTTTTGCTTCCTGCCCTCCAAGCTGGTTCAATATATTTTGATGTCAGACTATTGACAAGCAAACCAAAGGCTGAAATAAAATCATGTTTACCTGTGATGAACTGGCAAAAATGCAGTCCAAGGTAAATGCAACCCTGAAACCTAAGCATCTATTTATCAAGCAGCAAGGAAAAAATGGTGAAGCATTTAAACTTCTTTAAATAAACCAGTTGAATACATTTACTGCTGCTCTTGAGGCCTGCTATGTGGCAACCTAGAAACAAATAGATAAAAACAAGTAAAAGCACTGTGAAAATGAATATTATCATTTATAAGCTGCTGCTCTGAGTTTTCCAGATGTCAGTAACAATTAAAGTTGTTGCTCTTGACAAGTTGTTGCTCTTGACACCCTCGTAGGTCTAGAGCCAAAGCCTGACACTAGGTCCCCAGCAAGCAGAGAGCAATACTTCTTCCAGGCTGCATAACCCAGTTTGCTGCAGGATTTTGCTTGGTAGCAGCAGTGACAAAGCAAGCCATAAGCAAGCATCTTCTCAATGAATAAGTTTCTTCGATTATTTTTCTTTTTCTGACATTTTTCTCTCTGTATTTTCTAATTCTCTTTCTTGTTAAGTTCATTTTCTGATCTGCAGCACTGTAAACAATCAGGTGCCTCCTGCCTTCTTCCAGCTCCTGCATTGAGCTCAGGCATGGAGAAGTTTCTCTGAGCCTGAACTTGGAGCCTTCTGCCCAGGATCTCTGTAATTTCTTGTGGAGTGCTCACGTTTGTGAATCTGACTCTAAACAATGCTGACAAATTCAAACCTCATGCTTAGGAACAGCTGTGGGACATCAGACTGGGACAACCTCCCTGAGGCACAGCTCCGAGGGCAGCAGCACAGGACCAGCCTCTGTGGGCTCCTGCAGCCAGAGCTGCTGCTCCCGTGGTGGGATGGCCATTTGCAGGGAAGGCACCACTGCCTGGGGGAGCTTCACCTGTGCTGGTTGTCAAGACATCATGCCATGGCTCTGATGAGCAGCTTGTGTTCCCACATCTAAATTTGCCTCTTAATACTAGACTACTGTTTTTTTCTGCTTACACATTACAGTAAACAGAAGTATCTTCTATAATCTTTCCGTAAAACAACTTTTTATCTTCCTATGCTATTCATCTTTCATGCCTCTGTTCCAAGATGCACATTATTATCCCTGATCATTCTTAAGAGAAATTTTTATTTTTGTCACCTTTTTCAGTCTCTTCTGGCTTTGCACAAGACTTGAATTGTTTTTTTAAGTGAAAGATTACACAAAAATTCTGCTCCAATTTAGGGGCTGCAAAATTTGACACAGCTTTTAAAGTGTGTTTTGTTCTACTATCAGTAATCTTTCTACTTATTTACATAGCTCTTACTGTCACACTATCCAAATGCTTCTTTGAAAGAAGACAGTGGGGAAGTGTTCTCAGCCCCTCTGAAGAAGAAAAAGTGTTGAGATATATAAGTCCTGGTCCAAAAAAGTATGGAGGCTGCAATTCCTAGTGTCACTAATGTCAGTGATAAGCCAGAAGTCTAACGTCTTCCTTTAATGTGGGTATAAGAAAGCTATGGTCCAGTTGAGAACTGAATGTATGTATCTGTATAGATAAATTGCTATCTTCTGTCACCAGCCAAAAACTGTAACCACAGGCATACCCACTTCTTGCCATTAAAGACATTGCAGTCATTAAAAAATGGTCTTTTCCTAAATTGCTTTTCCAGCTTAGCTGTCTGGTTCACGAGTGCTCTGAGTGCTGAAGCAGATGAAATCTACAAACACAGACATAACTTCTTCTGTTTACGGAAAGGAAAAGACCAACAGAGGGCTGTAAGTAATGGTCAGGAGCATAGTATAGGCAACTAATGTCAGTTAAAGGGCTTAAGTTAAGAGGAATATTCTTTCCAGACTTTGAAAATAGGTATTATGGTAAAAATGCTTCTTGCCCATGTCACTTTGTAAACAGTAAGTAAACACAGAAAACACGAATTCTAAATTATTAGGAGCAATGTTGACAAAGTAATGCTTTTCATACTCTTTTTTTAAAAACACTTTTGAAAGTATTTATTTGAAATATACCCAAAAGGTTTAATTGCATTCAGTTTTTATAGTCATAAAATTTTAACCACTCTTTTGCATTTAATAAAAATTAGCTAGGGCAGGTCTCAAATTTCTGAATAACAGACAAATGAACTACAAACAGTTTCATGCTTAAGCTAAGTATCCTGTAAGAGGTATACAATCAAGACTGAACTGTACTGAGACTCCAGATTCATTAGTGGAACTTGAAGGCCCTCTTCTGGATCAAAAATTACTGCATGGCCAAGCAAAGTACATGGAAATGCCAAAGCCAACCAAGACTACAAAAAGATAAGTATCTTAAATGTATTTTCTTCATGATATTACCAATTTAATTTCCTGATTTTCACTAGTATCTGCCCATCTCAGTTACTATAATTAAGTATCTGAGAACAACTTCTTAGTGGATTCTTAAAAATAAAGAATTTCTTACAGTAATATTCACAAGAGGAGCAATCTAAAGAGAATTGTGGAGAGTTTCTCCACAACTTTGTATGAAGATGCTGTGCAGCTGAGTGATGTTTGCTTACCCTTGTTAAGCAACAGCATACACAAACTGAGACGTGATTCTGCACATGTACCTGTCTACACAGGTGTGTGACTTGCAGAAATTACATCTGAAAATCTGTCTTGTGCTAGAGGGGGTGTAAACACAATGAAGAAACATTTACAATGGTCTGTCTCAAGTCTTCAGGGACTGCACAATTCCTTTATATGCCTTTTGATTAAATACACACAGACTGTGAACAACTTACAGACGTAACCTTCCAAGAAATTTACTTACTTGCCTAAGCAAACATTTACTACTGAAAAGCAAGATGCTTCTCCACAGACAGAAGGGAAAAATATTCTAGAATGTGCTGTACAAAATGGCATCATTTTAATGGACCCATCTGTCTGCAAACAAGTGAACTTGAACCACAAATTTTCCTCTTTCTGAAAAACCATTTCATTCTTTTGTTTGGCCATTATGATAACAAGGAAACACATACACAGGAATGCAGGAACAGGTAGTGAGTATCCTATTAGTAAAAACTCTGCAAAGAACAATTAGACATAGTTTGACTGAACTGTACATTTTAAAAACCAAGGAGGCTGAAGAAATCCTCACGTGTCGTTTTTCGGTGAGTTTCTGTCAGCAGTGCTGTAGGGCTGCTTACGGTGATTCTTTTTCCGTACTTTTGACTTTGGTGCTGCCAAGAAGAAACAGAAAGGGAGAAAAATCATCAGAAGTGAATTACAGTAATATCAGTGCCAGCATTCTTTTAAATTAGGTTGGGATCCAAATGTGAAACCTACCATTGGGATTTTCTTGTCTGTAGAAAGCTTTTAACAATTCTATTGCTTCTTCGGCACGATAGCCTGAAATGCACTGTTCAAATTAGAATGGTGTTAGTGAGAGTACTAGAGAATAACATATGACATGATTCACAATATTGCCTTAAGTACAGAATAATTATAAACAACTGTACTATCTACTTAGGGGTCAGAAAAATCTCCTTTTCAGGTCAAATACCTAAAATATTTGAAAAACACTACATTGAGACTTAGTAGAGTAAATCATTTCCCTAATAAAGTTAGGCAAAACAAACTTTCTTAGTAACTTCTGCAAAATTTTTATATAATCTGAAATTTCTTTCTTAGTAGTGTGGTTCCATCTCACTTCATATACTCCTCAAGCACTTGGACGTGTAAGAGACATACACCTAGGTATTTGTAGCTGAGATTCCTGCCACAAAACATTCATCCACGTACCTGTTCTTTACCCCTAACAGTTACCTCTCAGACCTTTTTGCTCTTTCCAAAGTACTTTTCCAGGCCATGAACTTTCATGACAAAGCATTTAAATGTCACTTACACTAAATGAATCTCCACCCACACTAGAAAATAATTAGTTACTCCTATACATCCCACTGCAGTTGCCTACAGAAATAAAGGAAGGATTTATAGTGGCAAGAACCTCCTCCTTTCTTTCTTCTGAACATATGAAAAAATTAAATACCACATGTCAATGTTAGCAAATGAACACTCTTCCAGTACTGACTATACAAATTAATTCAGATGCTAGTGTCACTAACACCCTGACAGAAAGATGCCTAATATGGTTACACAGGAGTGCCAAACAGTATTGTCTTGCTGACTGAAATTCTTTAAGCCTTGTGCCTCTCATGCTTATTTAAAATGCTGAAATGCATTACTTGTTTTTTATGTTCATTACATCATAAATGCGTGTGGAAAAGGACTCCAAGAGCCCTAATCAGTATTGCTGTATAAGGCAGGAACATCTACAACTGTGTATAATGTAACAAATATAAAGCTGTAAGTACTCTATGTATGTATGGGTATACAGGCAGAGTACTACAATGCTTGTCCAGCCTTGCTTACATAACAAAGATGTCTCATGTGCCCCAGAGACTATTCCAGTCCTTCAGCATCCTTAACTGTTCAGAAAGTTTCTTGATACCTAAACTAAATCTGCTCTGCTACTTTTGCAGTCCACATTTATTTGGGGATTTGAACTACATGAAGTAAGCCTAAGCTAATGCATATATAGACTGGAACAAAAATACAATCATTTCCAGTGGCTCAGCTGAAAAACAGTAACTTTGTAAGCTGCTGTTACTTTATTATGTGTTTGTACATTCTGCAGTTGAAAATCATTTTCCCTCATCTCTTCCTGCAGCATACACTTACTGCTCCAAGTATTACACATATGTTAGATATATTTAATTCTTACCTTGTTCCACACGTACAATTCCTTCCCTTCCCCTTTGATACATACTTTTAAATAATTTAAGACTGTCATCAGACTTTTCCTCAATTTTCTTTAAGGACCTAACGTTTTTTACATTATTTTCCTATTAAGTCAAGTTTACTTGACTTTGATCATCTTCCATCCGAGCCTTCTTAAAGTGATGTGTCACCTTCTCAAAGCCTGGTAACGAAGCCAGGCACAGTACCCTAGCTGACAAACAATGGGAAACATTTTACAGCTTACTTCAAATGGGTCTCCTGTGTCCACCATATCATCAGATGAAATGCTCAAAACTGAGCCACAGCCTCCAAATCGCTGGTTTTGACAGCCAAATATGACCCGTGGAATTTATGGGAATGAGTCAAGGTATTAAGTTAAAGTGAAAAGCAAGCAGGAAGTACAGCAGCCTGATTTAAGCAGTCATTAAATTTCACTAAAAAGTGCTTGTACTTTTGAAACTAAATTAGTTTGAGCTGCAATTCCTCCCTCATAAAATCAGAACTTTCTTCTGAATAATGTAAGACATTGCTGAAATGCACATCCAGCCTTCCTCAGAAAAGGAGAAGCATGAATCCCAGAGCAGAGGCATACAAAGACATGGTTTATCGACTGTTACAGCATTCAAAACTGAACACTGAACTGAGCTTAGCTCATTTTACATCACAACAGATATCTCAAATGTATTTTCACATCCCTAAGAGAAATCGTTGTTTGTTGTAATTGCACCATTTTTCTTTCATTCTCGAGTCTCTTGCTATTCACTGTGCAGGAAGTGGAGGTGGGTGCCAGCCCTCAAACCACCCCTCGTGGCTTACCCTGCCCTTCTGTGGGCTCACTGCCAAAAGGACAACGTTTTGACATTTCCCAGCATGAATAAGCATGGAAGGATACTCATCAGGCGCAGAGCAGCTGCACACATGATACAGGGCTCTACAGTTACGTACAACACCAATTGTGGAAACACTTCTGTATAATCTCTGTTGTGTTGCTTGCACCAGTCAAGGACCTGATCAATTGCCACCATTTCTGCATGTCGAGTAGCCTAGGAGATAAAAATAAACATTTTCTTACAAGTTTGCATTTATTAGTTTTTGTTAAAGTAATGAAATGCTCTTTGCTGGTTCAGGTTGCAAAAGCAATTCCATGTCACCCGAACTGCAGAAGAAACACTCAGCCCAAGAAAGAACATCTTCAGCCTCAGTCTCATATGCAGCACACACTAGATCCACAAACACAAACCAGTTTTTCTTTCCACCTGTTCCTAGGCAGAGGAGCCTGCTCAGAAGTTCTCCTCTCTCTGTCATGCCAGCATAGTAATACAAGACATGAAAGCTCTACTTGAGGCTTAAGGGACACACAAAGCCCATTGGAACAGCTGATCCAGCCCACAGCCCACTTTGCTTCCAGGAGCAAGAATGCAGGCTGGGTTCATTTCTCCAGAAATACTAAGAAACTGCTCCTGGCTGGTACCTCTTCCTCCCTCTAACAATGTTACTGTGCCCACATGGAACAAAGCTTGGCATACTGTGTAGAAACAGAATTTTCAGCTTGCATTAGGTTCAATGCTGCCTGGGAATCCATACACATACACTAAGTCTCTCGAGTAATAGGCAGGGATTGCAGCATATGCCTGATTACAAAAAGACAGAAGAACATTAATTCCTCTTTTTTAAATCCAAGACAACTGAATGATTTGTATCTCAGTACCTATAGCACAAAAACCTGAACAGAAGTATTGACTTCAATTGCAGAGAGACAAAACCAATCAGTACCGCTCTGGAATGCCTGCAGCACTGTGTTATGCCAATCAAATGTCACAGCAAAAACATCACAAAGTACTAGTTAGGAAAGGACTCTTCAGGTACAAAACTTGGTGCTTATTTGAATTAAGACTGCTAGTATTTTCCTTCTTTTTTATGTATTCTAAAAAAAAAAAAAAAAGGATGTTTTGACACAGGCATTAGACTAAGACTTAACCAGTCCAAATTATTCTTGTACCTCTGCTTCATGTCTTTATGTGACCTCAGACAGCTTCCTCTGAACACAGGAACTTGGCTTAATGTTTTAGCACTGTGAAGATCTGGGGCGGTAACAGTGAGATGCTCTACAATATATGCCACGGGACTCGTAACTTACTGCTAGGTTTAACATGTTTTAAAACTACAGAGATCTATGTTACGCCCACGTTAACAAATAGTGTACAGCAAAACAGTGCAGAGGACTCAGCACCCATTAGGAGAGTTCATACTGGCCTTGCTCCAGTTTGGTCCCAAGGACGGTATATTGGTGGCAGGAGATGGAATGCACTAGGAATGTTCACTGAGTGCATCTTCCAGTATAGTTTCACCTGCAAGGAAGACAGCTTGCCATCTCTAAGACACAAACCAAAGCATAGGAAGCAGACACAACCAAGAAATTTATTCCATGAGTGCACTTGTGATCTGAACTAACATAGTAGTGAACCCATCAGGAATAAGTACATGGATCTGAATCAATATGAAGACATGATTCTTCCAGACCTACTAGTGAAGTGTTGCCGTGAGGGTTCCCAAGCTGGGTAAATGAGATCACATCAGCTGGAGTCTCAGTATACACACCTTATGAAGACACAAAGCATAGTGCCCTCCAGCAGAATGATGCCTCAGAACTACTACTGCTACTGTAACTCAAAAGTATAAGTGGAGGTTATTCTATTTTTGTACCCCTCAGATCAAAAGAGACATGAATACCATATTGTCTTTTCAACTCCTGAGCACCAACTGAAAGTCTGTAAGTAATAAGCCTTCATTACAAGAGGAAAACATGCCCCTAACCTGTGACACTGCTTTATACTGCATACAACGAGCAGATTTCAGGCCTCTGCTGATTTTGGGAGTACAAGTTAAGAAAAGTCATGCAGCTGGTGCAGGTCATAGCAGCTTCTGCAGTAACAGAAGACAGCCACAAAAAAAGAGATTAGACTAATACAGAGTATTACTACATCCCAGTGTACTCACATCTTAAGTAACACACACTGGTTTGGCCATCCCACATCATGAAGACATGGGAACACCAGGACAAATTCACCTCAGGGTGAGAAAGAATTATCCAAGTTCCAGAACAGTCTCCTCTTAGAGACTAGTTTGGTTATGGCTCTTAACTCACCAGATACACTCATTAGTTTTCCAAGTTAAGAGGACTATGGTAGAGGTTTAAAAAAAAAATCAAGAAAAATGTGGGAAATCACAGTTATAATTGTGATTTATTATTTCTCATAACAAGTGGGCACCCAATGAAATTATCAGGCAGCAGATATAAAACAAACAAGAGGAAGTACTCTTTCACAAACCAGCTAATTAAATTGTGAAACTCATTGCCACAGGATGCTATGGAAGCCAAAACCATAAATGAGTTCAAAAAAGGTTTAGACTAATTCACAGAGGATATGTGCACAGACAGCTATCAGAAACAGTGATCCAGACACAGTCTTGGGCTCTGGAACTCCCTAAGCTATTCACTTTCAGAAGTGGAAAGGCTATGCAAGGGGAAGGTTTACACTAATCTCCTTGTTTCTTGAGCTCCTTCGTTATGCATCTGTTAAAGGTCCCTGTTAAACACAAGATATGGGGGGAAAACTGACCTTCTAGATCTTCTGTAAAACTTTATTTTGTATTAAGCTATGACTAGATAGCCTTTTTGATCAAATTGCTGTGTATAAAATAACATACAAGAGGTTATTTTAATTTTGAGTCACTGACTCAATTCATAAGCTTCTATAAACCCCGACTGTTTCTTAACTTGCCAAATATTAGACACTATTTTAAAGCCAAGAAAGCAAAAGCAGGTAAGAGCAGCAAGGGAAAATGAGAACTGTTAGAGTGGCAAATGGTGTACCAAGAAGGAATTATTTGAAGCTGACATCAGTGGGGAAAAAGTATTGACAAGCCTTGAAATAGTGCCCCAAACTGTGGCAAATGTTTCATAGACAAATAAAGATATCATCACTGTCTTAAAAAGTCTACCTTCTAAATTTTAGACCAGAACAAACATGTGAGAGTAAAGGGGGCCCAAGCTCAAAGTTCTGTGTTATCTCACGGCTTCATTAGTACTTTAAGAGTACAAATGCTACTTCGTTTTCAGTTATCATGTACTGTACTTGCAACATGATCTGAGCAAAGGCATGTGCTACAATGGCCCAAGAGGAGGTAACAAAGAGATGTCTCTGTGTGTCAACAAAGGACCTAAGACAGAGAAAGTTTTACTGAGAAGTGAATGATTGCACCATGCATGGGAATAAAGATGCTAAAAAGAGGTTTCTAGCTGGAGGAAGGTTTCTGTAAAGAGGAAGAAAATGTTCAGGTTGGTCTGAGGCAAGACTGTGAACAAGCAAGTGTGGGAGCTGCCAGAGGGAACACAGTACTGGCACAATCTTGTGAATGAATCGCCAGGCTGCTAAAACCAATGTCTCACGCAGGCTTTTGTTACAATATTGCCCAATGAAGACAAGGAATGACATGCCTATCTATTTTGAAATGTTGATGCCACAGCCATGCTCCTACAAAAATACAATAAAACAAATACAGCTGTATATAAACTCTCTTCTTCCAACAGCAACTTTTCCCAAAAGAATATGACAATCAATAGCTTTGCAAATAACTTGCACAGAGTGAGTGGCAGTATCTCTACACAAACGTGTTCTGCTCTGGACGTGCAGGGCAGAAACAAAGCACGCAGGGTGACAGGAGACAGCCTGAAAAAACTGGAGAGTTTTCAGCAACTCAGTCTTTTTGCCAAAATGAGCAGTTTAGGAACAGAATGAAAGAGGGCACAAAGAAGAGACTACCTGCTCCTAACTTCAGCCCATTAGATCAGAGGATGCAGGGACCGACTTATGGGGAAGACAGAATTTAACACAAGGCCTACAGGCAAGTTGATTCCCAAGCAAGGGAAGAATTGTAGGGAAGGACTGCAGGTCTAACTGGATAAATTGCCACTTTCTAAAAAGTGACAAGAAAGTTTTCAAGAAGTTAGGAAAGTCCATATATTATAAAGATACATTTTGGAGGTTGGAAAGCAAAGGCTAAAGGAAGAATCACCAAATGTCACCCCTGTAAAATGAATGAGATAAAAAAGCAAAAATACCTTGAGAGAAAACATGTGGAAAAGGACTTAGCACTACTACACTGACCTTGAAAGCAGGGTTCAAGTACAATTATACTACTACTCTGAAACAAAATTAGCAATTTGCCTTTTCAATAAACGTGATGGAGAGAATGTGGTCAAAAGGCAGAATAAGAGTAAGAAAGCACAAATTACGGCACATGAGACAGAGAATTAGGACTTTTAATTTAAGAAAAATTCCCTAGGGAATGGAAGAGGGAGGGGAAGCAAACCTCCAAGTTGATATATTGTTGCCATCAAACAATGCACAAGAGAAAGTCTGTATGGAAGAGAGTTCTGGTTCAGAGAATTCGAGAAAATTAATCAAAGCTGAAATGGTTATATGTAAGAATTATTACAATGAACACAGAAAGCCTATCTTGTGTGAGGTAATTAAGCAGTTGGCTTGGGAAAAACAAAAGGCAAGAGGGAATAAGACTTTAAATACATCCAAGCTATGTAAAATAATGGATGATGCTGGCACAAGAACAGAGAGATATAAACAGACTATAAACAGATTAAAACTGGAAATCAGATGCTTTTTAACCATCTGAGGAATGATGTTCTGGAAAGGTCCTCCAATATAAGGTGGGACAAGAAATCAGTTTTAAAACAGACCCTGACATTTATGATGTCTACTGGAGCTGCCTCAATGGTTCAAGAGGGTTGGGTGTTTTTCCCAGGACTGTCCCTAGCTAATGCCAGAAATCATTAGGAGAAAACTGAAAACAATTTCCTGCATACACATTTCCTAGCAAGCAGTTCTTTCAAGCTTATATTTTCTTTTAGACTATATGGAGCAATTGAGTATCTGATAAAAAATTTAGAAGCACTAAGTACCCAGCATTTCCAACCATTACAATATAAATATTTATGAAAATTAAGCCACAAAAGAACTGAAAC